CTACACTAACATCAGAAATAATGAAAGATTTCTAAGTGGAATGCTGAAGAGTTTACAGATTGTTTTCACAGCTGCAACATTCCATGACTGTAGTCCCTCCCATGCAACTACCGTAGCAGAATTTGAACATGGCCATGTGGGCACAAATGCTGTTTGTTTTATATTTTCTTTTAGTAAATATCTGAATAACAGTGGTGTAAGAACAAGGGTCACAGTGACCCCCAGCTGTTCCTGGGAGACCATCAACATTGGGCCATTGCCTGTTGTGTAATGGCATCACTGCTTTACATATGAGCGTGCAATTGGAAATAAGCAATGACAAAATGTTTGAAGTATCTCCAGTTCAATGTTGTATTAGTCCTATCTAGAGCACTGTTTCAACATCGATTTATAGTATGCTAACTCATGACTTACACTGTGTGTCCTAGGGTTGCCACCTTTTCTTCCATTGAAACCCCGAACACTGTAGCGACGCACAGAAGTTTTTGGGGGAGAAATGAGTTGCGGCTTCTTCATATGTAAATAGCGTCACTCTTTCATATGTAAATATCACAGTTGAGACTATTTTCAGTGGGGGCCAGTAGCCCCTATCCTAATTTTGGTTGCCCCTATCTGCCTGACATCATGTGCCCGGGTTTCAGCTGCCATGAAACCCGGACACAGCATTCAAAACCCAGACTGTCCGGGTGAATCCTGGACAGGTGGCAACCCTAGTGTGCCCTCAGGCTTTGCAATATCAACACATGCTATTGTATTTAGGTGATAAAGGAAGACTGAGGCCTGGTTCACACTGAGGCATTTTTGGAAGCACTTTTAAAATCCCAATACAAGAAATCTCATGATTTTCAATAGCCCCTGTTCACACATGAGCAGCAAAACACCAAACGCTCGAAAAGGTACATGAGCTTATTTCGGCAGTTAACAGTGTTTCTTTGCCCCATAGACTTCAATGGAAATGCGCAAAAACTGCGCAGCAAAAGCATGTTGCACATTTTCGTGCGCGTTTGAACGTGCGTTCGTCAAACGCCGACAATGTTTCATAAGCTGCCAGTCAAAACGCGCGCACAAAGGCGCATCAAAAATGTGCACAAATAATCACACGCATACAAACGCGCAAAAACTATGCCGTTTAGGTGTGAACCTGGCCTAAAGCTATTTTGTATAATTGGAGGTAGAGTACACACTAGTTAAAACTGAAAACACTACGGAAGGAAGTAATAACAAAGATTGCATACAAAAATTGACCATGTATCTGCACATTCTAATGAACCTCTTTTACAATGCAAATGAATGTCCTCATGTCAGCAATATGGACATGGACTGAAAAGATGCAAAAATGAAAAATGATAACATGCAAATATGAAAATGTAAGTGGTGTTGAAACTACATCGCGCACAATACAAATCATTACAAAATTATAATTATATTTTGCGATGACACAATGGAGTTGAAATTAAAGGTAAAAAGCAACTCCTAGAATTTTTTTCAAATTAACCCTTGCAGTGGAACTACCCCTGCACTGCAAGGGTTAAGTGCTGGTTTTGGACGTGGGGCGAAAATATACTCGCCTGAACCTCTGTCCCACCTGGCTGCTAAAACGATCCCTGCAGCCTCTTTTCCCCCGGGCTCTGGCGGTCGTTCTAAAGCAGTGGTTCTCAACTTTCCTTTCTAGGGCCGGGACCCCTTGGTAACATTTACCAAGTTGTGGTGACCCCCAACGGTATAATTTAGGGATGACGCGGCTGCTGCAGCGACATCTGGTGGCATGGCGGGAGAACTGACACTGCTGCGCTAGGAGAGGGCTGAGGAGGACTCTCACCTTATTATTGTTTATTTTGTATTATTTTCTTTTTTCTTTTTAATCGCTTTTTAATTCTTTTATTTTTATTTCTTTAATTTTTTTTATCTATTTTTTTTCCCACTTAACTTCATTGCTATCACACAGAGGTAACAAGCCCCTGTGTAATAGCAATTGGAGGTGACAGGTTCTCTTTATTGACCCTGTCACCTCCAATACAGGAGTCCTAGCACAGCACTGTGCTGGAACTTCTGTGACAGGTAAGCGGGGAAGACTGTTATCCCCTCTCACTGTGCACATGGAGCGACAGGTTTCCTTTTAACCCTGTCGGGGAAAAAAAAAAAAAACTTTCTCCTGGAAAGGTTTAGTCTGCTCGATGAGAAAGTTTTTTTTTTTTCTGACTGACGGTGGGCCTGATGTCAGGAAAAAAAAAGAGCAGAGAAAGCGCTTCTCTCCTGGGTGGCCGGAAGCCACTAGGCGACCCCTGGCAAATCGTCATTCAACCCCCGACGGGGTCCCGACCCCCAGGTTGAGAACCACTGTTATAAAGACTCATGACATCATCACGTCTGATGCAGGTCCATTAGACGTGAAGAAGCCAACCAACATACCTCTGCTGATGAGATCTGATTCCGCATTTCCGTGGTATGTGAGTCATGCACTGTTGTATGTTCTGGTCAAATTATACGCTTACATTTAAAAATTTCCCACACAAGTAATTGTAACCATGGAGTTGTTCTATGTAGAATCTGCAACTGCAAGATGCAACAGTAGGTAAAATAATTGGCAGAATTAGGGCTTTGAGGCAAGGAGAGCCCTGTTATCTTGTTAGATAAATCCAGAGAGTGTATATCAATAGATAAGCAGGACCCTTAATGGCCATGTCATATTGTCTATCCTTGACCATTTAGTCACTGTGAGATAAAAAGGACTGCTGTTTCTTTCACTGACTTCCCATTCAGTTAACCACTTGGCTGCTGGCTAATTTGCACACAATGACACTTACAGATCTATATACTACATACTGTACATGCAGCAGGGCTGGATAAAGCTCAGGAGTCAGGTAGCCAATGCTCCTTAAAAATTACAGTTGGTGCCTAACAGCAGGTTTTCTATAGTTGCTGGCAGTGGAGTTGACTCCTCAATTAAACCATGTTGGCTACTGGATTGGACAGACTGGCTCCTGAATTCCATATTAATTTACCCACCTCTTACATAACATTAAGCACCTGAACTCTTCTTGAGCTAGCTATTTAAGGTGTCTTCCCATTGTCCCCCCACATGTGCTGTGTCTGGCCTTTTGTGCCCTTAACTTAGGTCAGTCAGAACCTGTTCTTAAAGCCATTCTTGGCCTGCACCTCCATTATCTGCCTGTACAATATTATCAGCACAGCCCATGACAATCCTCTGCAAGCATGATATTGGGACATGATAGAACCCTCCTTCCTACGAGGATAGAAGAAGGCAACACCCTTCACCCCTCACAATGCACAGAGAGCATTTTGGTTGCTAAAAGTTGTAGGAAAGGAATATATTGCTGCTTGTGGGCATCATGTAATGTTATCCTGCTTAGGTTGGTGGCAGGGGACTTTGCCTAATGTATTACTACCTTGGGTGGGGAGCATGCATTGTAAAGTATATTTGGAGGCTGCTGTAGTTGTGTAACTTTCCCCACTGAAGCATGTACGTAAAGTGACCTGTGCGGAGCAGCATGTGTGTAAATTACCAGAGAACAGTGGGTATGTAGGTATATATCATTCTAATGTTTTATGTTCTAGTTATTCAGTAAAAACAAGTTACTCACATACATGCCTGGCTTGCTAGTTACTCACATACATGCCTGGAGATGGGGCAGAGAGCTAGTGGTGTGGTGGGTTTGGCACTACAAGTGTAGTGGTTGTTTTTTTTTTTTCTTGTGCACAAAGTGTGGCTTTAAAATATGTTGTTACAATATGAGATGGAAACATCACAAAGCGCTCCACAAATAACATTAATATGTCCATCTAGTTAAAGTGTATGTCCTGCCAAAACTTTCTTTTTTTTTTTAGTTGATAGATTGAGGAAGGGTTTTAAACTGTTGGGTTTTTACTGCTTTTAGGGATTTAATTCGAAATACAGCATTTCTCTTCACTTACAATGACAATGTGTCTGTGACGGTTCTGCACAGTGACAATGGCTAGCTTTTTTTCATTCTACTGGACTTCTGCTTTTTTGTGTCTTTTTGTTTGTGCACATGATTTGATTATATTGCATAGACGAAGGGAGAAATGAAGGATGACTAGAGCATCACAACTGGGTTAAATTAAATGAACACTCTTCTTTCTGCTGATTTAGACTGGACCAGTTCTACTGCAAAAATGACTGGCCACCAAGTGCTTTTAAAGAAGGTCTAACAAAATAAAAGTATAGTAGCTGGTCGCGTTCTGATCCGTGGCCCTGTTTCAGAATTAAAGCACCTCTTTGTGTTAATGCTGGTTGCAGCTCTACCGCAGTCTGAAGCCCAAAATATGAGCATTCCTGTGGGGGCAGGTACAGCCAGCACTGAGCCACCCCATGAATAAATGAACAATTGGTGCTGCAGGGCTGTGTGATTGAGCTGCCAGCTGCTATTAAGCATACAGAGCACTGGCAGCTCTATCACACAACCCTGTAGGGCTGTGAATCTATCTGTGACTGCTTGTACACTGCCCCAGCAGATAGATCACATAGCCCCGTAGAGTTTAGCAATCTTTTATGCATGAAGATCAGCACTGTAGGGGCCTTTACAGTCTATGACACTGTGAGGCTATGCAATCTATCTGCCAGGGCTGTGTATCTAAAAGCGGCTGCTATCACTCAAAATTCTGTCTCCTTGCTAGCAGCATCATCAGACAGCAATGAGTAAATTATAGAATGAATTTAAACAGGACATATTTTTTTTTGTGAGACTAATTTAAACAAGTGACACATCTGGATTGCATATCTAATGTCCCCTTTTGTTATGAGTGTGTACAAGTCTGAAGTGCAAGCATATATTGATAAAATGAGCCATGTTTCCAGTAAATCCTGCCCTGCTGCACTACCAGTGTGACATATTTGGGTCTTGTACAACTAAGACTTATTTTTTTTGCCTTTCAAAAAGTCTTTGTTGTAAGTGTAACATTGAAAGTACGATTAACATGTAAACTTGAATAAAGATGACACTAGGCTGTCTTTGTTCCAGATACACCTGAGGAACAGTCAAGAGTACCACCCCTTCATGAGGTGATAAGCAAGATATGGAATCCAGTACAGCAATGTCTTGTAGTTGCAGTGGCTGTCCTGTTTATGATGTGGCAACACTTGAAAGCCTTAACTTCATTGTGGTATGTACTTTACATATGTCCCGTTTCCACACATTCCTTTTCCATGATTATTTCCAGTAATTTTTCTGCTTATTTATAGGTGTAGCTTTTCATGTCAAGGGCATTTTAAAAATAGACGTAAGTGTTAATTTTCTCTTCAGGATAAATGCATGCAAAGAGGTACAGGAATACAGGAAGTCTTATTGTTCTTTTTCTTTTTAACATTGATATTCAGGAAACTTGAGCGTGAATGCAGAAGTTGATGTGCTGTCTTACTGTTCTAAAAAATGGAAAGGGGAAGCACCAAATGTCACATACATGAGGAAGGTAAACATTGGACATTTTATCATATTTTGATGCAAATGTCATTTTATGCTTGCAGTGTTTACTTTTGAGACGCAATTTTGTTTTTTGTTAGTTACTAAAATGTAATCGAATATCACAATGTTTATGCAGAACAGTCACATGTAAACTGACTCACTGAACAAACTATGGAGATTACACTTGAAATTAAAGCTAAACGCCAGCCTTACTTTAAGTTTTGCACAGCTGTACAGGCTCCTCTCCTGCACCGACATTGCTTACTTTGGTTTAAATTTGCCCAATTAGACTACATTGGCCAGGGTTGCCCAGTTCAGTTCCAGCACAAGGACAAGACAAAAAGCCTTGCTTTGTATAGGGCCTACACATACCAACGCGCTGCGATGGTGTGCGTAGAGATAAAATAATGCACGTATAATTTAATTGCAGTGCATTACAACATGCTGCAGCACACACATTTTCCATATATGTTTTTAAAAGAACCCTGAGCGCTGCAATGCTTTAGAACAGTGCATTGCAGTGCACCATTACACCGCACAGCAGCACACACACATTTTGTGCTATGCATTTCCATACGGTGTGGTGTGAACTAGCCCTCTGATTTCATTGCACAACATGAGCCTTCAACAGTGCGCATTTGAAGCTGTAGCAAGTCACATAGCGCCTGTCTCTTTTTCCGGCTGAACGACATCCTATATATTTTACCCTTTTCTCCCCAGCCGTAGTGCCCATGGCTTTCATTCATTGGATTTCAGTTGTTTTGATGATAGATGTATCACATGTAGGCATTACTTAGGGTGCATGCAAATTTGGTCTTGCCTAGCCAAGGAATGCCCACTTGTCCAGATTGACTTCTGTCTATCAAGGCATTTTGATATTTACATAGCTCCTCCCAAGAGCCATTCCACTGTTTGTACCAGGACTGAAGGCTCTTGAGAGGAGAACTAAGGTGTCAGGGTTTCTTGCCCTTCTTTGTCCAGTTTCTTGCAGTATGGCTTGTGCAGTGTTTCTGACTGTTCCTCTAACATCATCATTCTGCAACTACTGAAAAAACTCCTGACAAATTCCTGTCTCAGGGTGCTGATGATGCAAACGGCAGCTGACTAACCATCAGCTTGTCCATTCAGTCTCCGCCCTTGTGTGTGTTCAGATCTACCAAGTGCTCTGCTGCTGTTCCTGGTTTCCATGTATGACCCTTAGCTCTGACTGACCTCCTGGTTCCTGACTCTTGCAACTGTTTCCGTTCATCCTGCTTTCAGAGTTCTCTGAACTGGTTCGGCTGACTACCCCGCTTTGGCATCTGACCTCTGGCTTTTATTTTTTAAACTTGCTTTTATAAGTTTCTGCCTGGTTTCTTGGTTCCCTAACATAAGGGCTATGATGTTTTTGGGAAGCTATGTACAAAACCCTGCCAGCCCCTCCTACTAGCAATAATCTGTCTGCATTGTTTTATTGAAATTGAACAGTTTTATTTAAAGAAGTACTCGCAAGTTTAAAGAAAATTAACCCTTTCAGTGGGGCTACTCCTTAATTGGTTAAAGGAAAGCAGTGTAGCTGATACATAAATGTACCAAATCGGCTCAAATTGATATGATGTTGAAATGGACAAAAAAAAAGGTTAATAAAGAACCTGGACCAGATGGCTTGATGTGTCTTCAAAGAATTGGCTCCGTTATAGCTAAAAAATTGTGTCTCATTTTTGGAGTCTCTTTAATGATTGGCGTGGTAGTGATGGATCGGCGCTAACAAAATGTGATAACTAGAAACACAGTGCACAGCTCACCCTATCATGGTTCCTTGTAATCCACATGCGGTGCACGGATGACTCTGGAGTGATCGGCTCAAAAACTGTAGGACCAGCACACAATCTTCCAAAGAAATATAAACTTTATTCCACTTGCATTTATACAAAAAAACAACCACTGACGCGTTTCTGCCTTAGTCATAGCCAAATGTGGTGCCTGTATTTAAACAGGGATTAAGGTCTTTACCAAGTAACTACAGCCCCATAGTAAGAAAGCTGTGTCTACTTTTTTTTTAAATGAGAAAATAAGCAAGAGTTTAAAGCTGACGTATAGTGTGCTTATATTTTGCCTTCTATAGTTCCTCCCTTTCCCTTGCATTAGCATGCTAATTACATTTTAGAAAAAAAAACCTTTCAATTTTGATTGCTGTGATTTCATCACTGGGTCTTTGTGCTTCTTATTTCAATGCAGGCATATAATGGATGGCAGGAGAGGTTGGCAGGGTGCTGTACATAGCCTCCTGAAAACATCACGGCACCCTGCCTCAGTACTCCCCTCAGTCCTGATGCTAGAAGAGGACTGGGTTTTCCTAGACAGACTGCATTTTCATGCAGATCATCTTGGGTAAGACCCACATTTTGATGCAGAGTCTTCATGATTGAAAAAATAAATAAATCCAAGGGCTAAATGATGCTGAATGGCCTCCAACCAGAAAATGAGGCGGGCTGTACTTAATTTTCTGCAGCTTCCAATGTACACTGTCAAGCTCAACCTAGAGTGCAACCTCTCTGAAGAGCTCCTTTGCCATCACTGGCAGTGCCCTCCTCCCAAAATATAGTAACTGGAATGTTAAAAGTAATTCCTTGATAAATGATCATAGGAGGCAGAAACATTTTTAAAAGCAAATAAAGCGGAAAGAAAATGCTCTAAAACCAGCTACTGCAATCCTGAACATCTAGGAGAGGAGAACACGGAAACAGCACCTCATTCTCATTCTGTTCAACTGAAGCCATTCAAACTCTGTTATCTTACCAAAGTGTATCCGAGGAAGTTGCCCGTGCTGAGCTTATTGAATTGTATGCCACGTATACAATTTGTGTATCATGGAGCTGCCGTGTACAAAAAAAAAATCACAAAAAGCTGCTTCAGACTGCAGTTAATGGGTAACACTACACTATAGGCATATTTTTTTTTTATAAAGCAGTGAATGTGACTTTCACAAAACGTTCACTGGTGGCAAAAAATTGTATCATTGTTATTTAAAACACATGTACCATAAAGTTTTACCTGCAGTGAATGTTAGTGAATGCCTAATTCACTGCTTTACAAATATACCCCGTGTGAATACTGTGATTCTGAATACAACACTACGTTATTAAACATTGTGCATAGTTTTTTTATTATTTGCTATGAAATAATTAGAAGCAAGGCATCCTCTTTCACCTTGGGAACTCCAAAGAAGACCTCACCTGGCATTCCTCCACATAGTAAAACATGCAAATATTACACAACGTAGCATCTGTTAAAAACTGAACTAGTTTTCACTCTCAATTGTTTTCAGCTAATCACAAGGCTGACCATAAACATGATGCAGTCACTTTCAGTGGAACTGGTAACCAGCTTTAAGTGGAGGGAAAGCTCCTCAGAAATTTGGAAAGTGTTTTTCTGCACCAAGAGTGTAATACTTTGAGTAGGCAAGCCAAAGTTTGTTATTTTTGTTATGCAACATACCCTTGTTAAAAAAACAATAACATTATGTTCCTTTAACACCATTACTCTTGCCAAAGGAAGTCATTTTGATTCAAAGTTATGCAAAGTTCAAGGAATTCCCTTCACTTAAATAAGATCCATCACTGAATTAATATGAATGGTGTTGTTTTTTGTTTTGTTTCCATTCATTGAGGAACACAGGATTCAGAGATCTTTGGGTTTTACTGAGCCTACAGAAAGATTAGGACATTGTCAAACAAACTAAAAACCGTGACCAGGATGGTATAACCTCTTCCACACCCATGCCTCTTTTTGCTAATGTACTCGGAGGAGTTTAACCACTTTTTTTTTTTTTTTCCCCTTAGATCAGTTAGTTTTTCTTCAGTCAAAACTCTACACGCTGCTTGAGCTAGTCTGTTTATGCAGGTAATAGGACTGGTGTATTGTCAGCAACCGCTTTGGAGGGCATACTCAAACACTGCTGACTGGACGATTGCGTTATCTGCCTAGAATGTAATCTGTGGGCGCTGGGCTTGTTTGGCACTTTCCAGACATTTGTGTACTGTAAACTGTCACTGACGTTCTTATTTATAGGTTGGCTGAGTATTAAGAGCTAGTACAAGGAGCTAATACGTTTTATTAGAACCTTTTAGGCGCCATTACTAACCCTTTTGTTTCCATTGGTTTCCAAAGAGGATTAAAATGCTGAGGAATTGAGAGCTGCATGGAATTTAATTGAGTGGATTTGAGGAGTAGTGTCCCAAACGCCCAATTTGTGCTCTATTCATGCCATTTAGTTTGAAGTATAACTATTCTAACTCCGATCGTTGTGATAGCGAAATATATCCCTTGCTGAGACCTCTATGCCTGGCCTGTATAAGCAGATATACTCACTGCGGACAATCCTCGTCAGATAGCTGAACTCGTCAATACCGATTCATTCAAAAGAGGTGTTTATTCTTTAACAGCAGATGATAGGAACAGCAGTTGAACGGTGATAGTATTGTGCGGTCAGAAAATGATGCCTTTCCTCCGTACTGTGCAGATCACATGTGTGTCCTTGTTACATGTGGCTTTCAACTGTGCCCATGACACAGGAAGTACTGCACACAGGAAGAAGGGTAGGGCTACACTAGGGGGAAATACATCGTCACATGAGGAATAATTACAGAAAACATGTTTGTTACAACAAAAGGCCACTAGATGGCAGCATAGGATAACACATGGATTTAGCTATGAGAAAATAGTTAGGCAAATCACACTATATAAATTCTAACCTATATAACAATGCTAATATTAACTGAGGCTATGCATCTCATATTCTATGCCCCTGTTGGGGCGGCACAATAACCTTATTGCAAGAGACAAGCGGTTCTACCTTGGATAGCAGTTGCTGCAGTGACCTAACCATTTCAACCTCTCTAGCTATAACCCTATTTGTGAGTACCTAAGGTTTTACCTGGTATTTTAAATGGAGCTGTCGCTGCCAAGCAATGCAATCTTTTGGGCCCCCAAACAGAAAGGGAACGGTCCCTCCAGCTTACAATCCACTAACAGTTCTGTGGCAGCCTGCAATGCTTCCCCTCAAGGGTCTGACATAGACATCCTGGCATGTTGTCGCATGCATGAGTCCCTACATTCTTCGGAGTCTTCATTAGATTTGTTGGCCTTATCCTGGGAGGATTTCATTGCAGTTTCAAGGGACAATTTGCATCTTTGATTGCTGGCTCTATTTGCAGAGACTATGAGTATACTTTGCTGCCTTCTCCTCCAGAATCCTTATTGGATTTTCCTTCAGCTTTCACAGCCTTTGAGCCTTCTGCTGTTGAGGCTGTATTTTATTAAGTCTTAAAAAGCCTTGCCAAATTATATTGTCCCTGAGAAGTTGCAGGCATCTGCCATAACTCCCAGGCTTAGAGAGACTATATTAGCTCTTAAGGTCGGCTAAAAAAAGCACTCGCCTCATAGTTCTAGCCGACCTGTGACGATGAGACTGTCACAGGTCGGCTCAGTAGATCGGGAGGTGAGCGAACACTTACCGGCGCTCGCTCACCCCTCGATCCTGTCACGGCTGTGCCGTGACCGGGGTGGGGCTGGATTCCCCCCTTCCCGCTCCGATCCGCCAGCGCTGACTGGCGGAATGGACGGGGGAGGAGTACAGCTGGCTCTGTCTCTAGCTATACTAAGACGCCGCAGCTGAAGCGGATCCCGACAATGTCTGAATCCGCCTTCTGTAGCTTCTGTTAGAGCTGTTACTAGTCTGGAATCCCTTTTAGAGGCCCCAAGACTTCAAAAACATTTTCAGTGCACATCCTACTCCTAGACATCCTGTATGGAGACTGGGAAGCATCTGATAAACTATTCACACCTCCCAAAACTTTTGCAGCACAACTATAAGGAGGCCTTTATTTTTGAAAAGGGTATCTCCCACCGTTGATCCGGAAGTGTCCTGTCTTAACAAAGTATTGACATTATCTGGTAGTGGTTGCTCTAGTGTTTAATGATCCCATAGATAAACATTTGGAGATTCTTGCGACAACCGTTTTCTTTGCCAGGCTCTGCATTGTAAACTGCTGTGAACGCAATGTTAGTCTGTCATACATTAGGGGAATGCATGAAACACATAAAAATGGATGTAGTTTTCATTCACATCGATCCCCTATCTGTAGAGTGCTTAGGGCTTATGCCAGTATTGCATAAATGGGTTAGTGGATGTCTCCTGTCTTATTTCACAATTAGCCTCCTATGAAGTGAACAGTCAGAGAAATCTTTGGTTGAAAGGTTGGTCTGCAGATCAGGCATGTAAAAAGCGTGATTTGCTCATGCCCTTTAAGGGTCAAACGTCTCTTTTTGGGGCTGCATTGGTCTCCCTAAACAAAGATGTCACTGGGGGTAAGAGTGCTCCTCTACAAAAAGAGGCCTAGGTCTCAAGCTGGAAAGACTCCCCTCTTTGCCTGAAGCGAGTTCCTTTCACTACCCAAGTTCAGTTGAAAAACCTAGGGGTAAGTCCTCCCCCTTTTTTTATTTATATAAAGGATCAAGCCCACTTTTCATTTTTGTAGAGAACCATTTTTGGTTTTACATAGAGACAAGGTTGTATTAAGGTCTAGAGCCTGCATCCTTCCTGATATGGTTTCAGCTTTTCACCTCAAAGGTGAAAAGCTGAACAGGATATTGTTCTTCCCTCTGTCTCCACTAAATTTTTTCTTTTAGTGTCTATATGTTTGTGCTATACAAACATGGGAGTCTACCTTGCAGCCACTGCTTCCATTAGGAAGATGGACTCTTTGTCATCCCAGATGGTCCTTGCAAAGGGAAACCAGCTGTTTACTCCATTTCTTGGTGGCTCAGACAGATTATTGTTCAAGCCTTAAGGTCTGAGCTGCACCCCTTCTGTCATTGCACATACTACTAGGTTGTTGAGTGCTTCTTGGGTTCATGGGCATTGAACAACTTGTTTCCTAGATTTTCAAGGCTGCCATTTGCTCTCTTGTTCACATGTTCTCCAAGTTCTACCGGGTGGATATTAATTGATGATTTCTGAAATCTCACTGGGACTTTAGAGGCTAGATATGCCCACCAGACTTTACAGTTTTGCCAAACTGTGTAAGAAAAAGAGTGACTGATAGATTTCTACATATAGGGATTATGAAGAGATAGAAATGGCATGAATCTGTATATTATTGTGTTCTATAGATATATGAAGGGACATTGTTCTGCTGGCTCAGCTAAGGTGTAAGCAGATATCCAAAGTAGTCGGAAGGTGAGAAATCCTGCATTAAGCCATTTTGCAAGCTTTGAGACCAATGCTGTCCATACTGTAGATGTATATAGGAAAGCTTGCTCAGTGACACCATCTTGCTGCTAGTAGATTATTTATGGTTCATGAGTTGTATTTGCACAAATGGCATTTATTTATTCTTTTAATTTTTTTCATCAGTATTGACTTATCATTGTGATGACAGCCTAGTGCATCTCTAATCTGTGGAGAGAACATGTTTCTTCTGGTTATGGAGTGCTATAGATCATGAGGGAATTACAACTATGACTTTAAAGGGCATTATGTATGATTGTGAGGTACTTCAAAACCATCTGCCTTCAGGGTCAAACTTTCACTTTTTCTGTCCTAGGCTACCATTTGTGATCCTCCTATGACTCCTTTAAATGCTCCCCCCATCTCCACGCCACACATGCCCACCATGTGAGCTGTTCAATGTAAACATGTGTTGCCTGTGGATTAAACATTTAACTGTTCTGTAATGTATCTTACCTCTGTCACTAGATAGAAGCCATAGTATACCAGGCTAGGAAGTAGGCATGACAGCCAGTAGTATGAAATATAGTCCTCAACCTGAACAATAACCAGTCACAAATACATTTACAGAAGAATCTGAATAGTATATATTAAATTACCATAATTTTGCACTCTTTCTAATGAAAGTTTTACATATTTAACTTTACCTATAATGTATCTGATACTTTTTCTTGAGGCTGAGAATAAGAGGCCATCTAAACTGCCTGACTTGACACAATCTCTTCCAGCTTCTAAGTATTTATAACACCATTATATAAAAGTGTCTTGCAGTTGTTGAGAGGAATGTCAAAACCCTAGTATTTGATTCTTTTTTACATGCTAAGAAGCTGGGAGGCACAAACCTCACAAACTAAGACATTTCATTGGTACAGGTTGACTAATTGGGCCCATATACTGTAAAATACAACAAAGCAGAAAAGAATGTTGACCCCAGCAAACTTTTTGTTACAGCTAGTATTTAGGAAATTCCCGCCTAAATCACTCAAATCACTCACACCATTAACATTGAAATAACATTAACATTTTACTGTATCATATTTAAGAACACAGGCAATGGAACCAAAAGAGGTGAATTCCTTAGATTGAGTATGACCCCATGCTTGAATTTATTACACTTTTTTTAATTTATTTTTTAAAGGCATATGAAGAATTGTACCGGAAACATCATATCAAATCTATGCAGTATGTAAAACAGGACAATTACTGCGTTCTTAGAGCAGTCATGTTCCAGGTTTTCAGTCAAGGAATCCCCTTTCCTGGATGGATGAGAGAGAAAGATATCCTAAAGGTATTTCTGTTTCAACTTTTTTTTATTTTTTTATTGATGCAAATAAAATCTGTTACATATCATAACATGGGTTGACAAAGTCCTATTTCCTTAATACATAATAAGAACATGGACTTAGGCAAGTAAACATGTCAGTAACTGCCTAGTGAACAACTTTCTTTTGTATACGAATGTGCCAAGCTTGACATACAATAAAACGTGATGCCAAAATACCTGTTTGAAAGTATCAGACATTGGTCACCTGAGGGGCTTCTTATGGTGTTACTTTATACGGGAAGAAAAGAGGCAATGTAGAGAGTGTGAAGAGTCGGAAGAAAAGAGGAGTTCTAAAAAGGGGATGACCATGAGGTTTTGTTTTGCTCACAGTGGTCCATTGGGGAATACTTTGTGTATTCATCAATATCACATGGGTATGAAGACAGTGCCACCCCCTGGAGCCAGGATCTATCGCATAAAACTTTCTGACTAATACAGTAGATCTAGAATACCCATGTTGTGTAGACATGGGTAGAAACAATGGTTCCCATTGTCTGAGTATACTTTTTGATAATTTTTGATTAAGGCCTCATTTACATGGATTTGTACAGCCATACAGTGTGCACGTCCATGCAGAAATCTGCACCTGGTAGTGACAGCGGGTGTGTGCAGCCACCTGTGCAACTCAATGACAGGATGTGGCTTCATGCTGCTACATACCAACCTGAACTTGCACATCCGTATAAATAACAACTGCATGCCCCTGAGTACAGACTGTCACTCCAGGGCAAAGGTTTCTGCATGGACGTGCACATCTGTGTGAATGAGATCTAAACAATGCATTAGTAACATGTAGGTAGATGGCAGGAACCAGTGATCGTTGTGGGGGACACAGAAGATTGACACTCCCAGCAGCATTTCCTCTTTAAAGCCCATCTGCAGGCAAATATTAACACCCTTTTCTGCCCCTGTCTGAGTACATCTTTAGTGCAGCAGCATTTGGCATTGTGGGTAGCAGGAGTGGTAAGAATATACTTTCTGCACTACAAGCACATTTAGGCTTGCAGCCCCAATGCTATTAGTGTAGTTTGCCATGGTCCTGCATCCAGTTCCCATAAAGAAGAACTGATTGTAAATGTACTCAAACACAGCACACCACTGCAGTATTATGACACATTCTTTATCTGTGTGGCTAGGGCGGTTCGATTTTTTAGTGACAATCCTTTTGAAGGGCAGTCTGTGTCTAGATCCTGTCAAAAATATGTTTAGCTCCGATAGTGTGAAGCAGGAATGCCAATTTTAAAACAATTTTGTTCCTGTTTTCTTTCTGTATAGCTTCCTGAAAAGCTTCTGTATTCTCAGGGATGTAATTGGATACAGCAATTTAGCTTTGGACACGAAAAGTATACAGGTCCAAAGGTATATGGAAAACTGCGAAGTTGTCTTGAAAGCTTCAAAAACCAGGTAAGCACTCTATTACAAACCTGATTTACTAGATATGATTACTGATGACAGTATGAAGTTACAACTTAAATTATACTAAAAGGTTTATTGAATAACAGCACGCAGAGAGCTATGCAAAATGCCGTAATCCATAGGGACTAAAGAGATTGCCATGTACAGTAGATAAGTCAAATAAGTGACTGGTGTCATTTGCCTTATTGAATAAGTCTGCTGGTTTATACATCTTTCCTTCTTTATTTTATGTTTTATGGGCTGTCAACTTTTTTTTTTTTTTCTTCATTCTATGTTTACTCAGCAGAGAGGCTGAAAGGAACAGTTCACTCACTCTGTCAGAGCACCTAGGAATGACCTTTAGAAGACCAGGGCCAACTGTCACCCTAGTTTGCGTTAGCAGTTCAATGTATAGACCCAAAGTGGGCAAATAGTAAGTGAACATTACAAATAAAAATACCCTGGCTATGCAGGGGTAGCAATATTGAGGACCTGACCAGATGGCGCTCCCAGCCAGTATGGCATTCTGGAAATGTTAGTTGTACAGAGGAATGTGACTATCAGTAGCATGATGCATGGGCAGCTGCATGATGCATGAGTCCCATCCTAGGCCACAGTCTGTAACCTATACTGAAATCTATCCCTGCTCCCCTTTTATGTCTTGGGCTGCATTACCCTTTTACCCTAAGAGTATATCTGTCTACTTTGTGAGAAGCTAAACTGTTTTGGTGTATTTTGAAGTGAAGCTAGACTGTTCTAAGCTAAGTGCACACGGATCACATTTTGGCCGATTCAACAGGAACTGGCAAAAATCCAAACCTTGGGTGGGCCTCCTCGCAAAATATCTCATTAGTTTGAATTTTGTCGAAAGAACATGCTGGGAAATTGTCGGCTGAACAGTGCTGGCAGCCAATCAGCCAACACTGTTGAGTTTTCTGACAGTGGCATAATGTACACAGCCAGAGATTCGTTCATCCACGCATTTAGCGTGGATGGAGGAATCTGTCCGATTTTTCCAGAAACCCATCTCTACGTGTGCGCCCAGCTTAAGTTGAGCATTCCAGCAGTGATCTAAAGGATCTCGGGGAGTGGGGCTCTTAACATAAGACATTTTTCCCTCCCCCAATGTTAAAGCACTTACCTTAAATGATGTCTCTTAATCGGATCTTCCTCTTCTTTGCTATCCTTTTCAGCCTTCTCTCCAGCGCTGCTGCGGGTCTCCACTCCAGCGCTGACTCCTCTGTCCTTGCTGGCACTTCCTGTCCCACGGTGTCTGCATGCGGGTGCACGCCGTCTATATACTTAACTTGTGTCTCTTCTCGTCTCCCGGTCGAAAATCTGAACTGCGCATGCGCCCGCCCCAAGATGCTTTGCGGCCGCCCGAGCATTTTCGGATTTCCGTACGGGAGCGTGCGGGACGAAGACAGGGGTAAGTTTAAACTTTTTAAAGTGTGTGTTTTTTTTTTCCCCCAACTTTTTGCATATATCTACTGCTTGCTAGCAGTAGATATATGAAAAAAAAGAGGGTTTAGAAACCCTTTAACCACTTAAAGGCCATAGTGTTTCACCCCCTTCCTAGGCTGTTTACATGCTAACAGTTTTCCCTCTCGTGTGCGGCGCTCAGCGCGCGCACGAGAGGGGGGGAGGGGCAGGACGTCTTAAGACGCCCATCCGCTCTGAGCAGACTTCCATCCGGCCGTTCACGAACGGCCATGGACGGAAGGTGGTTAATAAACAAAAAGCCACATAGCAAAAATGTGTGTTGAATGCTATACATTACAGTGAAATGGAACCTCATTGGTAACATTTATTAGACAACAATTAACATGGTCTCTTGTGACATTTTCCCTGACAGCAGCATTTTATTGCTGACAATCCAGAAAATGCCTTTTAAAAGGAATAAAACACAGATCAATAGAGAATGTTTTGCATTCTAATATTGATAGTGCTTTTTAAAAACTACCTTTGTCACATTTGGTTGTCTACACTTTATTGAAAATCTTACAGTATGGTTTTATTCAAAACTCACAAAGTAGGCACCGCTCATAGTCCTTGTCCTGTGGTCACACAGCCCCATCGCTCTTGTCGGTGCAGGCAAGAAAAGCACACTGCAGCTTGATACTGGTTCTCACAGAAATAATTGCCGCACGAACGACTGGTATCACAAGCTGGACAATGTTAATCTCCAAAGTCGTTGTGATATCAGTCTTTTGTGCAGCAATTGTTTCTGTGAAAACCAGTATGTCTTTATTGTTGGCTCTTTTGTTAATGATGTTCCTAAAAGCATTATTGAAGTTCTGTCGTAAGCTAGGAAAAGGAAATAATACATTTATTTTCCTCAGAACTGCATGAGTCATAAAATCTTTTGCATGATTTCTCCCTTGGCCTTACAGATTGGGCCATCATTAGCAACTAACTGGACAGTTGTGGACTGGTTTATAAGCTTCAGCTTTAAAAACCTAGAGGGATTCTAAGCCTTTCCTAGCTCTACCTACTTTCAGCTAGGATGGTGTGGGACTAAGCTCCCAACTTGTTTGTTCTATACAAACCTTTATCCGTGTAAGGATTTGCTTTCTAATTAGTGAAGCTCTCACACTGCCAAGGGATTTTATAACTAAACTTAGTTGCTTCCAGCGTGATGTAGGTACCACACCCTTATTAACTTAACAAAACAATAAGCTCAGTTTCCTAAGCAGCTTGAAATCTCACTTTAGAGTAGTAATTAGGTGTAGTCACCATTATCATTTTTGGGCAAGGTCTGATGTGCTGGCCCCCAGCCCAGTAGATAGGCAGGGACTTTTCAGTAAAGAGCCTAGTGCATTCAGCACAAGACTTAAAGGAGAACTATGGGGTTAGGGCTTTTCCCCATAGTTCTCCTAAGGGTAATGGGAGGACACAAACTAGCGTCCTCCCGTCACCCACAGCTCAGTATACTGCGAGCTACGGCTCGCGGTATACTGAGACGCCGCAGCCGGAACTGATCCCGACAATTATGTCTGGATCCACCCAGCTGCGTGAGTGACAGCTGGCTCTGCCTATCTAGAGGCAGAGCCAGCTGTACCCGCCCCCTTACTCGTCCGTTCCGCCAGTCAGCGCTGAAGGATTGGACAGGGGAGGGGGGAATCCAGTCCCTCCCCTGTCCCGACTCTGCCGGCACAGGATCGAGAAGTGAACGAGCGCCGGTATGTGTTTGCTCACTTCCCGATCTACTGAGCCGACGTGTGACAGTTTCATTGTCACAGGTCGGCTTGAACTAATGAGGTGAGTGAAAAGCACTCACCTCATAGTTCTCCTTTTAAAGTTGCCATCATGCCCCATACTTGGAGAACAGGCAGAGAATAGGCCCTGAGGCCTTTTTTTGTCCCCATTCCTCAAAATTCCAAAACATAGATGGATACTGGTTCTTCATCTAGAATACAGGAGCTAGCTGTAAGCAATCACTATTATATTAATGGTCACTTCTTCTAGAGTAGTTAATCAGACTGCAGATGGATTAGATTCTAATGAGCTAGCCAGCATTTTTCCCATAGATAAGATTAAGGAAAGTGTTTTGCATGCATAATTTATGGCAAAGACCTCTGCTAAGCTTGCACATTAAGGATAAACTTTGCCTGTAGTTTTAGAATGGTTTCTTGTATCTTGTAATAAAGGCCATCTACGTGAAAACTTATTGTCCTGCTGCAAGTGGTATTTTTAATAAGAACACTATACTGAGTTGGTTATACAACCATTTACTATGTGTACCCAACTGTCATGTCACAACATTTTTTTTCTTGCTGACGTGCTATTTTAATGGAATGAGCATGCTAAATGTTTTACATTGCAAATTACTGTATGTTGCGTTTTATATGACTTTGTTATGCTTGTACATTTGAATGGGAACCAGACTACCAGCCCATTAGTATGATTAACCTCTAGAATCGAGGAGAGGCAGCAGTGTCTCAACTCACTACTGACTGTATCTATATCCAGTAACTTCAGAATGTTTCTTCATTGTGAAGTAGCTATGTGTGAAATATGTATTAAAACAGCTGTCACTGAAGAGAAGTTAAACCAATTATTCCCTTTATTATTGCTCATTTACTTATTTCCTTTGTTTTAGTTAGTGAGAAAGAGGAAAAGAAGGAAAAAAATGCATTTTGACGTAATTTTTCCAAATTCAAACTTTTCTTTATTTCCCTAGCCTCCGATATTTCTGTAAAGATTTTTAATAAAGTCTCTGACTAAAAGAATATCACGCAAGTGTTATTGTTAAATAAAATTGCAGAGCCCCATATGTGGGAATAGCTGCAGTCATATGTCGGATATGGCCAGTAGAAAATAGTCCTTTCAAATGAAAGATGCCATAACACACTTGCTAACGACATCCTGAAAGTGTTAACAACCTAAAGGGTCACAGTTACATGGCATTTATTACCTTCAGATGATCCATATCTAGAAGGTGCTGATGAAAACAATTTTACCTAAAGTGTAGTGGCACAGCTTGGGAGTTTCCCTGTAAGCACAATGCACTAATCATTAACTGACATTGTAATGCTGTAAACAGGGGGGGAGAGTAGCAAATCCCTCTTGTTTATTTGTTTATTGTTTGTTTTATATTCTCTTATAACCACAAGGAGAGATAAACTTCTATTACACAAAGCCGTAATACATTAAAACCAGTCAAATCTACCATATTAAGTCGATGATAATGCAGAAACACCAATGCGTGTGTAGGAAGTTTAAGCAGCACAATATACACATTTTTGTCTGTCTATAAGCAGTGCAGTACAGTATAGTGCATGAACACTGATGTCTGGGTCAGGTACTTACCCATCCCAGTGTCTACAGTATCTCCAAGTCCCCAACCCAACCTGACTGGTTGTGCCAGTCCCTGATGTAGGCTGCTTCAAGGGGAGGAGAAAGAATTCACAGGTGCGTACTTCTAAAGGCATTCAGCTATGCTGTTACCCCTCTGACATCCAGCTAGTGATGCACAGGGGAAGGGGGTAATGTCTGTCCTGGTGGACTCCACCCAGCTACACGATTTAAGAGGCTCATACCCCTCCAAATTTATCAAAATGGAGCAGGCACAATTTGGAGCTGTTGCCAATGGAAGGCAATCAGTTTATATCTTCAATTTGTTTAGTTAAGGTTTGAAAATGAAGCTGATTGATTACAATCGGCAACTGCTCCATATTTTGTCTGCTCCAGATTTGATAAATTCCCCTTACAGTATATTTTCATGTATTACTGCAGGGTTTGTTACTTCCAGTTCCAAAGCTGCCACCATAATCTTCATGTCATGATTTACTCTAAGGTCCAGATCCTTTCCATGGCTAAAACCTTTACATTTCTTCTGTTACCCCTATGTTTTGTTGTTAAATTCTATAAAACTTATGTTTTATTACTATATATTTTTTTCACTTAACAAATTAATATGTAATACATTGTGCATCCTAAATGTGGGATTTTCAAAGATGTTTAAAAGTGGAGCAGTAATATTCTCCTTTCAGACATACTGTCTCTGATTGAAACCTTGGATTGAGCCATATAGAGGGAGGAGAAGCGAGGGGGATGATTGACTGCTCTGACTCTGTGTAAATTTCAGCTTGGACAAATTAACTATGTAAATAATAATAGGAGAAACTGTACATCATATGAAAAGTATTTCTCCTTTACTCCCTTTTTTTAAGAACAGTTTTGACCTCCCTAGTATGCACAATTAAATTGTAAAGTCAATCTGATAAAGTTTAACCATAAGCACGTATGCTTATGCTAGGTTACAATCTGGGACAGATCTAACGATGTCCATATTTGACCAAAAACAGCCTCTTTTCTTCCATACATTTCTGTTGGCCAATTATAGTGATATGCCAGTAGGAGTGTGTGAGCAAGCCCCAACACTGCCCTACTACTAGAATAACCTACAATTTGGGGCAAAGGGTAAGGAAATCTACTGCAGGTATGTACTGGCACCTTTGGGTGCCTGCTCTCCATACCGGTCAGCAACTTTTTCTTAAAGTGCATCTCCATGCACATTTTAAAAATTAACATGTCAGAGTTAATTTCAAGCATTCTTCAATCAAACTATCCCCTTCGTTTTTTGGTGCTTCCTATCCTTATGAAATTGCCTGTTGAGCCTGCGGACTGGTTGCTTGTTCCTTGATCTCTGGCAGAGGGCCAACTGAACTAGTTGTCCACTTCAGACATTACAGCAGCATTGTCAGCCATTTATGACAACTTCACCTCAGTGGCAGCAACTGATGGTGTAGCATGTTGGCGGTTCCTCCCAGGTAAAAGTGTTATGAGACAGGAACTGAAGTTCATCTAGGAAGAAATGCTCTTACTTCTGTGACATCAATGCCTCCTTAGTGCCTGACCACCAACCGCAGAGGAAGAAGGATGAAGGGAGGCTTTGCAGTTACATAAATACATTTCATATTTTGACTGTGAAGTTTCGCTATAAGTCTTATCATGTTCATAGGTTGTCTCCATTGATTTGAGCATGTGATGAAAATATTTTTTTAATGTTTTTTCTTAACATATTGTTATATTAACTTTACTAATACTGTTTTTTGTTCTTTTTTTTTGGCCTTCAAATTTAAAGTTGTCTTTGGTTTCTGTTTTTAGTGGACAGAATTTTACAATTGTAAAGATCGGGCTGAAAGAAACAGATTGTGCAAGTCCGTGTTCTCTGATGAAGACACAGAGCATAAACTGTATGAAGCATTAAAATTCGTTATGCTGTATTTGGTGATTGATGCTTATGAAAATATAAAGTCAGCACAACACTCTCCATGCTTCTTTCACTTCCTGTTCTCACGGGACATATCAGCCGACCCTCTGAGCTACATGATGAACCACTTGAATGCAGTGGGTGATGCATCTGGACTGGATCAGGTAGTTGCTTAATGCCATATGTTTCCATGTTTTCCACACACTGCACTATTCTCCAAGATCCAGTATGTGCAGATGACTAGAGCACTCGGAAGCAGATGTTACATTTGCCAATGTAGTGATCCTTTATGAGTAAGGCTTGTCTTCTCTATTTAGATGTGTAATTATAGTAGAGAAGTTATTCCTTCATTCAGGCTTACCAGTAACAACACATCCAGATAATACAAAAATACAGGTATTTCCTGACCAATACATACTTACTGTCCCTCACCTAAATAATAAAGTTATTCTACAACATTAATTTACCAGAGTGCAAGCACCTACAAATATACATGTTGTACAAATTAGATGCGTGGTCTCTTTCCTTATATAGTTATACTGTATATAGCCTGGTTGCAAATCATGTACATCCTTCAATATAATAATAAAGTGGCCTCTATTACCCACACATGTTAGGATGCCATCATAAAATGCATACCTTATAGAAAAGGTACACAGTGACCGTTTTGCCCCATTAATGTTCAGATTTGGGAGGCTGTTCAAAAATTGGACAATATAAAATATTTGTTTTACTGGTGCATTTTGTTTTGAAGTTTCTTTTAGATTCTCATTCACTAAATTCTAGTTTTAAAGGATAATTTTAGAACTTTTAGATATCCAACATATTAAATCCATAGTCAGGGTGGAACATGGTCACATGCTGCATTTTATCACAGCGCACTCTATGCTGCTGCAACCCATCGCACTGCAACCCATCGCACTGCACTGCCATTCGGGGACATTTAAAGAGTGTACTCATTATACACTTCCCCATAGTTAGAGTTGTCATGTGAGACTGCAACTGTCATGCGTTGGCTCTATAGCTCAAGAACTGGGCGATCACAAATTAAATTCAGCTCTAAATTCACGATTTTCTCCCTGCAGAGAGCAGTGACTCATTTTCATGCTCCCCACAGGGAATTCCCTCTCCCTTCTCCATTCCACCAGCGCTGACTAGAGGGACAGACAGAGGAGGGGGTGGGCACAGCTGGCTCTGGCTTTAGAGAGGCAGAGTCAGCTGTTAATCAGGCAGCGGGGTGGAGCCCGACAATATTGTTGCAACCTTTCCCAGCTGCAGCGCTGTCCGCATATAGCAGGCTTTTTCCCATTTTTTTTTTAGAGGGTTACCTCTAAACTAAGGGATTATATGATACAGTATTAACATTTTTTTCTTTCTTTATTAAGGCTGATATATGTTTGGTGGGCTATGCTCTTGAAGTCAAGATAAAATTATTTCGGTTGGCTAAATTCAATACTGAAGACTTTGAAATGTATTACCCTGAGGATTACAAGAGAGACTGGAATGAGATAAGTCTCATGACTGATGATGACCAACACTATATCATACCAATCAAAGCCATATGATTAGACTGGCGCTCATCTGCCAAAGAACACCTTTTCTATGTGTGCAGGAAAACCTATTTCTCTGGAAGCTACCCTGTGAAATATCCATAAAGCTGAATTCACGTATGTGAAGAGATGTACTAACTAGCTGATGGTCACATATGATGTCTCAGCAAAAACCGTGAGGCTGGGTTCATCCGATTGTCTAAGTGGATTTTATAATAACCTTTTCTCTAATTTTACAAATATGTAAATAATTATAATGTAAATAAGGAACTAAAGGTTTTGTTTTACATTACCTGCATTTGTTGTACACAAGATCTTAAGGTTGCAGGATAGTGGGGAATTGGCATTGAACAATGAGACCCTCCAAAGAAGTTTTTTATCGGTCAACATTCACTGTTGAGTGCATCTCAGGCAATTTCACTATAAATTACTGTTGAAGCAGTAATTTGAAACACTAATTTTTTTTTACTTTTCCTTATAACCAACGTTAAAAAGAAGAAATATACCCATTTGATCATCAGTAATGCTGGTCGATCATGTTCTTTAGCAATGGGACCTACCATTTGCTAACTAAAGTAACAGGAGGCCACAAATGCTTTAATGGAGCAGTACTCCGTTAAGTAGAAGAAAAAAAAGTATATTGCATCTTTTCACACAACGAATTGTTCCAAATTGCATAGTTGCTGTTCTCTGTTAAGCACTCAGAAATGGCACTATGAATCTAAGAAGTAAAATTGATTTCTGTAGTGCTAAAGAATGGAGAATTGGAAACTGGTCAGTACTGAATTGTAAAAAGCATTCCTAACATCATATAAAAAAATAATTCCTAACATCATAGGAAAAAGCATTCCTAACATCATAGGGGAAAAAAAAGGAATTAAAGGCGCACAGACTGGGTGAACAACATTGACATCTACAGGCAGAATTGAGTTTTGCTTATTGTGTTTTTGCAGTTTACATTTTATACTTGTTCTTTTGTTGTCCTTCTAACAGGTTTGTGTATGACTAGTAGCAAATGAGGTCTCTGGGCTACTGGACATTTACGGGTGGTTGATTTTGGCTGTTTATAACTGTCGACATTCACTTCTGAACATTGTTAAAATAAATTGTTTTTTAAACCAGGGATGGGCAACATCAACACTCCAGCTGTGGTGAGTTCCATGAGGCATTGCAGGCAAGACTCTGAGCATCACATGCATGATTCCCAGCGGCAGAGGCATGATACGATTTGTAGGGCTGCAGAGCCAAGATTGCCACAGAGGGTCACATAAAGCCCTTTTGTAATTTTTGTGTGACCTCAACAGTCTGCAGTGGGGGCTTTGGTTTGCAAAGGGTTCTTGGCAGTGATCTCTACTGGTAATTACTACTGTAATATGTCCCTAGATTCTCCTGGTGTCTATCTCCACAGTCTCCGACCATCATTTCCTCTAATATGTCTGCTGTCTCTGACAGTCTTCTCTGGTATTATATATACTAAAGATTCTTTGCTGCCCTTTTTTAATGTCAGGGGCTCCGACATGAAAAGCATGGGACTAGCCCTATTTATTCATTACATATGAAAATATGTGATCCGCTTCCTTGGCTTGGTTACACAATGGATCTTGGCAACAGAAGTTTTTATCCCCACGTTTTACACAAAATGTTTGAATTTTATTGATTAGTTTAAAATGAATGTATAGTCTTCTCAGGTACATACATGTAAATAAGAATGGCTTAATGTAAATAATCTAATGAACGTATATGCCCGTTTAAAAAAAATATTGTTTGTGTGTATGGTATGTAGATATTTATGTATATATGGGTATATGGGTGCAGCCATGTTTGTTCATTACTTGTGCAGGATCTGCTTTCTTCTTTTGGAGTGCTATACAGTGGTTGTGCTTTCTCGTACAATGCAAATCTGTAAAATAAAAAAGCACGTTGTATGTGGCTAATCTCTTTATTTCAACAACTATTAAGCAGTTAGTCATCAGAGTTATTAAATATGACAATCCACACAGCATCAGTTGGCTGAGCGACAAATCTCTACATTTAAAGCAATGACAAAAAGAAGGAACAGCAAGCTCGTAAAATATGAAAATGACATGAACATTTAAATTTAAGTAAATATGTCAGAAATCATTACATTATCCTTTCCCTTTAAAGTCACCCATGGAAGCATCACAATGGCTGTAGGACTTGCGAGCAGTTTAGGATTTAAACATTTTATTTATTTGTATAGCTAATATAGTGCAACTTTAGGGGCTGGGTAATTCAGGGAGCAAGGGTACATTTGGATGGGACCACCAGAGGCATAGCAAATGTGGTGTAAATATTAAGTGTGTGGTTTTCTTCGTCGCCTATAGCAACCAATTAGAAACCTTTTTTTTATTTTATTGTCAATTATGCACTGAAGTGACAATTGGAAGCTGGTTGGTGCTATAAACAACAACCAAATGATTCTGGTTGGAAATTGTATGGAATAATTCATATTTATGAGCTTTTATTTTTTTTAATTTTTTTTAGTTATGGATAAAATAAAGAAAATGTACAGCCTTTATCATGATTTTATTGCAGTCAGTGTCTCCCTATGGGGAAATGTTTGCTTATTTCATGTGTTCTCACAGGGGAATCTCTCAAAAACTTGCAGAGACTCTAACATTTCTACTCTAATAAAATCAAAGAGTAAAAAATAAAGCCGGGCTACAGGCAAACAGTTAAATACAGCCCCCTCACTTTCTAAACAGATTGTTAGATATGCTGTAATTAAGAATATCAGATGCAGGTCTTTGGCAGAATCAACACTATAATTGCATTAGTGGTGGCTCTGTTATAGGTTGCATATGTGGTAATGTAGCTATAATTAACGGACATCTGCAGTATATGATGTATGTATAGAATATGTATTTGTTATAATCTTTGGCTATTGCAGGCAATGGTCAAATAATCACAGAAAAGATCAGTTTACCTGCAAGTTTGCAGTTTGGGGAGGACCAGGAGGGAACAGATTGGACTGTTTCAAAAAGATGTCTGTGATTCTGTAAACGTTAAAAAAAAGGGGGCAAAATGTTAGTAAAAAATCATAATGGTAAGTGAAAAATGCAAATGGTGTCCCCCGGTAAAGGAGAATGTTACCCAATAGTGGTGGGCATATGCTCCAAAGATGCCACTTCATAAAAAGTCACTGCAATGTCTCCCAGCTGGTTGGTTTCTTCAGCTGGCCATGAAAGTAAAGGAGAGGCCATATATTTTGCATCACAATTGTGGACAGCCTCTCCAGAGGAATGAGTAACATTTTTGCACAGGTACAAAAGAACAAATGATCACTGGAAGAGTTTGCACTTGCAGTTCTGCAGCTTCCAGTAGGCCACACAGCAAAGATCTAACAGGAGAAAGGATATGTTAGTGTACATTTTGGAGAGAGGGGGTTGGTTAAAAGATAACTGTACAAAAAGTACTGTTATCCTTGAAAGTACAGCAATTATTTAACCACTGTCATAACATACACTAGCCGGGCAGGTTCAGTTTTTAAAAATGTCATTACAGTTTAGAAGACAGATGATAATCTCAGAAAAATACACTAGATTATAATTTGTTATGAATCGAAGTAGCAGTACATTTAAAGAAATTACAGCAATGAGCCGATAAAGGGTGATTTATCCACAAATATGAAGCTTAGTGAAACCAATCTGATCTGAATCGGTACTGATCGCTATGGAAAAGTCAAATAATCAGATCTAATACATTCCGCTTCAAATTGTCATCTTTAAATTTGCACAAGGATAATTGGATGGATCTAAGATATTGCATGCCCCTCATTGATCATTGCATGGAGCTCAGATACCATTCATTGTGTAACTTTAAGATATTATTGTATGCTCCTGACTGAAAATTATTGCATGGTCCTGATTTGGGCCTGCTGGGTAAGGGCTTAGTCAGGTAGGCTGTACACGATCCCATGATTTCTAACAGCAGCTCTGCTACTGGGTCTGTGTCTATATCTCTGGCTGCCCTATGTGAGCACTTTCACTTAAAGCGGACCTTTACTAAAAATCACATCAGCATGCAGCTCAGATGTAGCCCTGGCCTCACAGATGCATCCTGGGAAAGCTACATCACCAATGCCTTCCTGAGAAATCTGCAAAGTTTTGTGATATTTTTTCGAAAGGCATTTTTACCGCCTGATATGATGTATGCTGTCAGGAGGCTGGCCTTAGTGATATTGACCACCCTGAGAAGAATAAGCAGGAACAGAAACATAAGGTATGCAAAGAATAAAACGCCTGCGATTGTCTGTTTTGTAGATTGCTATAACTAAACATTTCTTTTGTTATCTTAAAAATGTCAAGTGTGAAGTTCCTCTTTAAGAGGTTGCTGGCACCTCTGCCAGATGAGGAGTTTTTAATCACAAATTCTGTATGCAGAGTGTTCCTGTTTTGTTGATTGTTTTAAGCAAATACATTTCCGAAATGCTAACATTCAAATATCTCTGTTCTTGTGATGTGTGGTAGATGCAGGTGAGTTAAACTGCAATTTAGAAAACATGACAAAAGAAAGTGACCACACAAATCTAAAACAATGTGAAAAATAAATAGTTAAAACTAGAGCTTCAGCTAAAGATTATTTTCAAAATCGATTAGTTAGCCGATTATTAAGTTCGATTAATCGGATAGAAAATTAAAATTAAAGTTTAAAAAAACGTCTCCATTGATGGGACTGCTAGTTTGTATTGCGATTGTCGTCCATCACAGGAGCAAACTTGGAGCGGTGGAAGTAAAAAAGAAAAAAAAAAGTGTGGTGTGCAATATAGTGAAATTAAAAGTGTAAAATTGAATGAATGCAGAATGGCACCGGCTATAGAGGACTACAAAACCCAGCAGTAATGCATTATAGGTGGCGGTATTCTGCATTGCGCTGTATAATGTACTATTGCTGGGTTTTGTAGTCCTCTATAGCTGGTGGTGTTCGGCATTGTGCAACTGGCCCTATCGTCTAACAAATAGACAATAGTATTCCTTTAAATAGGAAGACCTAGAAGTAAAAACATAACCTTGAGTTTTGGCTACTAGCAGAGTGAACTGTCATCTTTTGTAACATCATGTGTATTTTGTATGGATCTTCCTCAGAAATGGGTTCTGTCCCAATTGGAAT